CACAACACTTCCAATTCTTTGGACACTGGCACTAAGTGGGTTGCAAGTGTTGTTGATGTGTTTTTTACAGGGGACAGATGTTGGTATAGTAAAAATATGGGTTGTAGTGATGGAAGAAAAATAAAAATAAATGGGCTTTCTATAAGAGCTCATTTCTGCATTTTGAGAAAGGAACCTGATCACAATTTCTGTAAAATAAATGAAACCCTAATAAAAATAATCACCATGAAATGACATTGAAAAAATTATCAGGAAGCAGCATCCTTGACCAAATAATATATAGTAGAGGTATCCCCATTTGAAAAAATGATTTAAATGAATACAAGCTTTGGTAAACAGAGAGAATTTAATTGTATCTGTGTAGAATATAGGATTCATGACAATGCAACCAAAAAAAAAAAAAAACACCCAAAGCCAAGAAGAAACTGAAAAAGACGGCAGTCATAAGATGGCCTGGTGTTTTTTACTGTACCAGGGGAGGTCGTTTGCTAAGAATAAAATAAAGAATTACCTTTTTTATTGATCAATTAACCTAGGAGGTAAATGCTAGAAACAAGAGGAGGAATGGACGATGCTAAATTCTTAGTGTCCAATAGTGCCAAAGATCAACACCAAGCACCAGCTTCAACACAAAATCAACAATAAACAAATAGCTAACACACAAACTTATCTTCTCCCCATAAAAGGAAAGAAAATAGAAAGCATGCATTAGTAGCAAAAGAAGAAGAAAACACTAAATGTTTATTTTATACAACCAAGAAGTCAAGCGATCAGTATTTGGTGGATGAAATTGATATGCATACATCTGAAATGAGACCATTGTGTTACTTAGTTCGACTCAAAAAGGCATTAAGCCGAATTTGGTGCACAAGTCATGGAAGCATCTTTCTGCAATCAAAATAAAAGATATTAATTCTCTTACCCAGTGAATTTGTTGAAGTTTATCAGCAGTTCCTCTCTCAAAATATCCTCCAACATCTTCGTTCACTTTACGTATTCTAGTTCCGAGCATCTAAATATCTCTTCAAGCACGCGTGACTGCAATACTACAACTTATGGC